TTCAAAAGCTCGGGGACTTTAAATACTCAGACGATGGTTTTCGGAATTCACAAATGTTCGACGGATTTCCAGAGCTTTCCCGCGTTGAAACGGTCGAATTGTCTAGAAATTTTGTATTCTAGTCTTGCCACGTGTGACGGAGGCGGAGTTTGAGGGACTGATATGGGAAATGGTGGGGGGCTTTTGTTATATGACTTGGCGAATTTTAATTGGTCAAGGGCAAATGAGTTCGAGGGCTCCTTTACGCCGCAGACGATTCTAGCGTAACCATGATAATTAGATATAAGTTACTTTGTAAACACAAAACAATGGTGTATTCGTTTCGAAATTCGAGTGACATTTAAAGACTTTTTAAGTTTTAAGATTTTTGAGAATTTTCAGATTTTAAAAGAATTCTATAAAATACCAAGTCTAAAGGTGGGATTTGTAGTGGGATTTCCTACATGTTTTTTTCTTTAGAAATCCCACCAAATCTTAAAAAGTCCTTATAAATCCTAACCTTAAATTAGTTAAATACACCTGGATTTCGTAAGACTTTTTAAAATCCTAATTGAATACCTCAAGACTTTTAAAAGTCTTGAGAAATCTAAATTAAATACACCAGAATTTCTAAAGTCCTAAAAAGTTTTTAAAAGTCTTTATAAATCCCAATTAAAATGCTACGTGTACATAATAAATATACATAGAGTTGTACATAACACTCACATGGATTGGGGTCCATTAATTTTTAATTTTTGGTGGGTCCCACTCAATGTGAGTGTTATGTACACCCCTATGTACATTATTATGTACATATAGCATTACTCAAAGAATAATTACTCATTTATCGCATTTATGGCGTATTATTATAAGAAAAAAATAAAAAAATTATAAACCGCCATCTAAACAGCACGACTTTGTCAAATTGTCCCGTAAACTGAATATAAAAATAGTTTTAATACAAAATTTGATTTTTTATGCATTTCAGAAATTCCATATACTATTCAAAAAGAAAAATAGAAAAAGAAAAAATGAAGAGGAAAAACAAGTGATTGATGTTCTTGTTCAGTCCACGTAACTTCACTCATTTCATGTTCGGCCAACCAAGCTTCCGCCACCGGTCTTCCGCTCATGTTCGATGTTGCTCGACAAGCGACCAGCTGGAGTTTCACGCGTATGCCACAACCGCGGAGCTCGAACTTCTACTCCATGGACGATGAACAGCCTAGACGTAGACGTGGACCTAGTCCTTGGCTTCGCATCCCACTTCGGAAAATTCGGCACCATGGTGTGCCTTGTGGAAGAGGGCAACGCAGCAGCCTTCTCTTTGCCTGCATTGCGCATCTGTCAAGGACCATAAGGAGATGACTCATAAGAGTGTTGATGGTGTTTTTGATCAACACAAGCATACCTCCAAAATAGAGATGTCTATGGGTCAAACCAGAGATCTAGTCGATCATCATCTGGCTAACGTCTATAAAGAGCGCTCTCTAAGATGACTCTTTGGCTTGTAAGGAGGAGTGTGCTAAAAGGCAAAAGCACACACTTTTCCTTTGGTTTGTATGTTTCAAATTGGATCTTACGTGGATCCTTTATTGGGCCGGTCCATAAATAAACTATCTAATCGACTATTGACCCCATTATCCATTGGACCTGCATCTCAGGTCTATCGGCTTCTTCCACTCTATCCGACTTAGCTCGTCACCCACTGATTTGTATATCCGGTTCATCCTCTCACCGTCGACCTTTCTCTCTCTCTCTCTCTCTAAAACCTCCATAGCTTCTCTCCTAGACCGAGATTTCAAGTTTTGATGACTGAAAATCCCTCAATTCCCACCAAAATCTAAGTTGATTGACGTCACAGAAAATGTCCACATTTCTCCATCAAAGGCCACTTCACAGCCCCTCATTTGATTCTCGAGAGCTATCGCCTCGATCCCGCCACCAGAAGCCCTCCGCCTCTCTCCTCAGCCGCGTCCCCGCCGCCCTCGTCCTCCTCCTCTCCCTTCTAATACTCCTCGGCGTGCTTTTCCCCTACCTGTGGTCCCCCAATTCCCTGATTTCGCTCACTTTCTGGAATTCCGATCCCAAGTGGCGGACGTATACTCTCCCTGATGCGGCCGCTTATGTGGCGAAGAACAACACGCTGATCGTGTGTGCCGTGAGCGAGGCTTACTTGCCGTTTCTGAACAACTGGCTGATCAGCATCGCGCGTCAGAAGCAGCAGGACAAGGTTTTGGTGATTGCAGAGGATTACGCCACGCTTGATAAGGTGAACGAGCGGTGGCCGGGTCACGCGGTCTTGGTGCCTCCTGCTCTGGAAGCGGCCGCAGCTCATAAGTTTGGGTCTCAGGTATTGTTGTGGATTTTTCTTTTTTCTGGGTGATCTGATGTTGTAGTTGTTTATTTATTTATTTATTTTCAATTCTCAACAATCCATTATCACGAACTTGATCTAGACTAGTTTTGGAATAGTAGAGTATCATGTACTAATTTCGAATGTTCGATTATACAGAGTGATATTCAACTTGATGATGGGTCCATTGAAATAGAAATACAGGGCCATTGTATGCTGTTTTTTTTAGTTTGAGGCTTAAGAGGCAGTGCACTTTGTTTTGGCTTATCTCTAGATGGATTAGTTGTTTAAGTTGATTAAGGGATCTTCGTTATTATGATTGGTCATGAAAGGTCCGCCTGTTGTTTAGTGTTTGTGGTGAAATAGTTAATAGGTTTGCAAAGCATAAGTTGCTAATTCTTGATGAATCTTGATTTGATGTGTTATTAGGACTAATGATCTTCCCTTTATCATACATTTCTTGTTATTCAGCTGCATTGGCTTATTGTGCAGGGTTTCTTCAATTTTACAGCCAGAAGGCCTCGTCATCTCCTGCAAATTCTGGAGCTAGGCTATAATGTTATGTACAATGATGTAGATATGGTCTGGTTGGCAGATCCCTTTCCTTATCTGGAAGGCGAGCACGATGTATATTTCACTGATGACATGGCTTATGTAAGTGTCCACATTTTGCTTATTATGCAGATTCAGATTCAACTACCACAAATTTTTCTCTTGAAATGCTTTTCTCATTAGGGCTTGTGGAATGTTTTTCTTTGTATGTTCTTCTTTTATCCAGTCATTTGTTTGTAGCCTTATGTCATTTCAGTTGGAAGGTTATTTGTAGACCGAACTAAAATATGTATATGTCTATATGAATGCCTTGAAAGTATTTAACTACCAAATTGTCCAAGATATCCAATTGCCAAAAAGAACCATTTTGAAACTTCAGGCTTCGTCACTTCATGTGCACTTTCTTAACAGAACCATTTTTTCTTTTATCAGTTCTGAATTTCCTTTTTTTTATTCCCCTGCTTTCATTGAAACCTCCAGGTAAAACCTCTTGATCATTCTCACGAGTTGCCGCCTCCAGGAAAAAAGGGGCGTACATACATTTGTAGCTGCATGATTTATTTGCGTCCCACCTATGGAGCAAAATTACTTATGAACAAGTGGATTGAAGAACTGCAGGCCCAACCTTGGTCAAGAGCAAAGAAAGCCAACGACCAGCCTGCATTTAATTGGGCATTGAATAAAACTGCTGGACAGGTAACTTATTCCAAATATCGTTTTTCGTTTAACATTACAGGTACAACAATATTGATTGCCATCCAAATTATGAATCTATGTTAATCTTTTTATTGCATACTTCAGCTCAAATGATTTAAAGATAAATTACACATCAGTGCACTATAAGTCTATAACCTTCAAAAATTAAACCCTACTTGCAAGGGAGCATATTCGAAAGGATCTCAGTATTTGTTATGTGTTGACAGATGGTTGTTTTTCTTTTAAAGGGTAAGTAATAACTCAATGGTAGTTCTGTTGTTAAATCATTAGTTAAGATGCCTTTTACATATTATATATAATGCATGAGACCTAATTTCAGGTGGACGTGTACCTTCTACCTCAAAAGGCATTCCCCACAGGTGGTTTATACTTCAAGAACAAAACATGGGTAAAGGAAACCCAGGGCATGCAAGTTATCATTCACAATAACTACATAATTGGTTTTGAAAAAAAGACTAAGAGATTTCGCGAGTATGGTCTCTGGTTGGCGGATGATTATGCCTCTGAGTCCCCACTCGGCCGATTGTAACCATTTGGATGAGCCTTTATTCAACAACAAAAAACATTTTGCCACGCAAGAGTCAGGCATTTTCTGACAAAAGCAACAATTCTGGCTTGTGTGTGACTTGAGGCTTGAGAACGATGTGGATGGACATAGATAGGCCGAGTATACGGTGCATAAATTATGAGGTCAAAGTTGATATAGATAGCCGAATTTTGTTTGTTTGCTTTTGTTGTATGATACAGGTTCTTCTTCAGCAACTCAACTCGGAAATTGCATAATGTAGATGATGAAGCTGTGAGATATCTTAACCATCATCCACCGTTCTAACATTTTTCCTTTTGCGGCATTTGAGGACTTATGCTAACGGTTTATTAAATTCTTCATTTTGCTATAAGATGGGTGATCTGCCTTCAGATTTAACCTTCATGTAGAGATATTGCGACTAGTCTTTTGTGTTCACTGCGCTATTAGCTCTCAACAGTTCAATATATCAGATGGCTTTGAGTGTTTCTGGAGTTTCAACTGTCTGTGTTTGATTTTCAGAATAAGCCATAGAAATAGTTGTTAAACAAATTAAGTTGTTCATGGGCTCGACTCTTTTAGGCTCAAGATAAGGGCTTTTATGTAATTTTCTAAAAATTATTAGCTCGGCTCTAAGATTGATAAACTAGTTGAGTTCGAGCTCGTTTAGTTAACAAGCTTGGTTCGGCTCGGCTCGGCCCATTTTGATGTCTATCTGCATAATAGGGAACGTTCATTTTCTTTGTCCTGCTCCTTGTGTTACCGTTACAACTGCACTGTGGAACCCAAAAAAGGACCAGTTTTTGTTTTTTAGCCAACTTTTGAAAATAGTCAAAATTCAAATGAACCTTTTTCAGTCCCAAATCTTTTTATCGAGTTCCTCAAATCTTTGTAATGTACAAAAGACATTTTATACGTTCATTATGATTTTTTCACGCATGCTATGCCTTGGTGGAAATATAAACAGTCCATTTCCTTTGCTACAGTCCGTCCTGACCTGTTGGGCGACCCGTGGAACTATTGTGTGATGAGAATCTATGAATCTGTTATTCAGACGACTTCTGTTTACGGGTTAGACGAGTCGAATCAAGCATGAATCTATTATTGTTCTCCCCATTATTGTATGCCGGTTTACTTATTAGACGAATCGAATCTAACATGATTCTGTTATTTTTGGGAGATTTAACCACTTTTATGAACAAAACGGTATATTTTTTTCAAGTAGAGGTCTTTTTTTGGTCCAAATTGGTGAATCAACTTTTAAACTAGACATCCAAATTGATAATATTTTGAAAGTGACAAAGCTGCAATATAAGCACCCCTTAATTTTGAGTAGGACAATTATCATAAAACAACTACCAAATTATTTGTTATAGATAAAACACTCATCATACATATTCTTATTGAGATTTAGGTTCTAAATTTGGTAATTTCTTAAGAAAATACACAAAATGATATAGGTGAAGGTGAAATAACAATAAAATTTTGAAGAATTTACTAACTAAGTCCACTTGCACTTAATCAACATAACTTACTTTTCAAATTTACCTTAAAATTATACTACAAAGGTGAAGGAGTATATTTTTTTTTTAGAATTTACTTTTCACACAAACTATTTAAAATATAGTACATTTTCAAAACACAAATTGATTGAATGATTAAGGAAATATATAATTAATGCACATGTATACTTATTTGTGAAATTGTCTTCATGGTGAAATTTATTGCATGGATTATAATTAAAATATTTATGATTTTTTTTTTTATTTCATACAATATTTAGTATCAAATTAATATTGAATGTGGTTTAACAAGCTAAATTCATACATGCATGTGAGCAACTGACGAATTAGCCGTCCAACAATTATAGTATATAAAATTTTCGGTTACACAATGACATAAAATTTTCAACTGGTTTTTATTTGGTTTGTTTATTAACTATAGTTAATTTTTTAAATATTATTTAATAATAAATTCAAACCCGACTTCAAATAAATAATGATTAAGCAAATTTGTTAAAGCTTGTTTAGTTTGAATTGTTTATATTATGTAATAATAAATTCAAACGTGACTTCGAATAAATAATGATTAAGCTACGAAATAGGATGACAAAATATTGCCATGCACCTTTTAGATGGTGATATTCTTTAGGTGAGTAATTAATTCATGAATGCTTATGGATTAGAAAAGATTTTATCATAATCATATGATATCTCAAAAAATGTTTAATAATAATAGATTAGGCACCTAAGAAATCTTTAGCAGTGATTTTTTATTTTTTATTTTTATCAACAAACTATTGTTATGAGAATAATATTTTTTTTTAAGAAATGTGCAAATTTTAAACTAAAATATCATATTCCAAAAAATAATATAACCAAGAATATGATATTTTAGACTATAACTATGTATTTTTCTATTAGAAATGTGAAAACTTGTTAGGGAGTATGTAGAATAACGCATGTGCAAGAGCTACGAACACTGAAATTAAAAGCGGAAGCGACTATTTAAATTATTAATTTTTGAGAGTATCTCACTACTCTCAGAGCTTCTTCATTAATAAATCAGTCGCGCGCACTATGAATAGTTTGAAATTACAAAGTATAGGATTTCCTCATAAACCTGCCACAACTACACCCGAAACTACTGATTACTTCCTCGACCACAATTTGGACTAAAACAACTATTATTCAAGCCGAAAAAATACTTAATCCCTATCCAAAAAATTTGAGAATAATACAGATTCAGCTATTCAGTGATGCAAGAACACTAAACTGAATTGTTGAATATCTAACTTATGAAAATATAAAAAACTGTTACGAACTCTCAAATACTATACTGAACAATTAACTCATTACTATTCGTTATTGAAGCTACAAGTCTCTAAGTCTTCGTGACGATATATATACAATCTCGAAGTAGGTAAGGCGCCTTCATATTTCCATGTCTTAAAGGCCTTCCTTTGGAGTTAACTTCCTTCCAAACAAGACCTGCTTCTTTGTTCGGAGGTCCTCAATATCTTTTCAATATTTGTGCAAGAACAATGTTTCCCAATTTATTGATTTCCAACTCATAATCGAGATCTTCATCGAATACTTAATGGCTTGATTCTGACATTATCCATGTTGTGTGCGAGCTCATTTATATTATTAATCAGTTCATCTTTCTTAAATTAAACCATGCTTCATTTATCTACAAGAATAAGAAAACTCATAATGGCCTTGTTTGATAATTAGCGGTTAGCTTTAACGGATAGCAGATTGTAATAGTTGTTTTGACCAGCGTTAGCTGTTTTGACCGGTCGATACTGTTAGCTGTTCTAAAAAGATGTTTGGTTAAATAGCTGATTGATTTGTAAAAAAATATTTCATGTTACTAACTTACTTATTTTGTTTTATAAATACTTAGAAAGCAATAAATACCAATTGTATTTATGTAATTATTTTTGTATCGACAAAAGTTAAATTGATTCTTAAATTAAATATACAACAAAATTAAATTGATTCTTAAATAAAATTAAGTTTTTATACATATTATACTTAAAGTAAAATAAAAGAAAGAATATAAATTAAAAATATAAAAAGTGTGTTAATGTACTTAAATACAAATTGGTATTTGAAAATAGCAACAAAATTTTCATTGTTATTTTTTAAAATTGAGCGCAACACTCAACATGAAATAAGAAATTAAATGTGCTAATTAAAATTATATTTGGTTAAATCAAACGTTTTTATTAATTACTAATAATTTAATTACTTTTATCAATATCATAATAATTTAAGATACTTTTAATTAATTGCAGTTATAACTACCTAAATGACAAATTATTTATAGTTTTAATACTTAATAGAGTTAGTTTGTAATTATAATAATAATAATAATAATAATAATAATAATAATAATAATAATAATAATAATATATGAGTAATGTTATATGTACATAATATTGTACATAAGGTGTACATAACACTTACATTGAGTGGGACCCACAAAAAATAAAGAAATCAAGTGGACTCACCCATGTGAGTGTTATGTACATCTCTTGTATGTGCGAGCTCATTTATATTATTAATCAGCGAGCAAATTTTAACCAGCTCCGATATTATCCATGCTGTGTGCGAGCTCATTTATACTATTAATCAGTTCATCTTTCATTAATTAAACCATGCTTCATTTATCTACAAGAATAAGAAAACTCATAATGGTCTTGTTTGGTAATTAGCGGTTAGCTTTAGTGGATAGCGGATTGTAATAGTTGTTTTGACCAGCGTTAGCTGTTTTCAGGGACGGATGTAGATATATCATAGGGGGGGCTATTGTCCCCCCCAAACTTTTGATTTTTTTAACTATATATAAATATATATATACATTTTGCCAAAAAAAAATAAATATTTTGCCTAAAATGTACTCTTTCTTACCACGTACTATACATATTACATATATTATAACCATGTCCAATTTATACATATACCTCATAATCATTACTAGTTATTAAGATGATTGCTGTAATAAAAAAAAAAAAAATTAAGTTGATCTATGTACTAATATTTTTTAGCTATACTATATTTTTAGATGTAACTTTTCACTCTTTAAATATAATATTTGTGCTATAACTGAAAGTTCCATGCATGTGAACAAACTACCACCATTAGCACATCATTGTTGAAGCACACCTTTGAAGAATTCTCATCAATGGTGGCCATCACCAACCTTCCCATTTCACA